GTTGCTGGTGGCAGTATTCTTAAGGGTGTTTTAAAGGTAACCCTTTCTTTTTCGTGACTGAAATGTGTAATGACAGTGAGTAGAGTTTTTCCATGCTTACAAAATATATCTATATAATTGATTTTTTTTTAAACTTGAATGCAGTCACCTAAAACTTATCCTTTCTGTCTGTAGTTCATTTTCACTTTATAGTTTTAAATACCAGAACAAGAAGCACTGGTTTTAATTTTTAAATATATTATTGTAGTTTTAACATTTGCTAATAATGATAACAGATTTAATTCCTCACAAAATGGAAGGAGATGTTATTTTCCTGTCCTACTACTTTCTGAATTATTGTCAGGAAGAGGAAAGCAAAAGAATTTTAAAAGCACCTTCAAAGTATGTATGGGTTCTCACAGGTCCCACTTCCCTATTTAAGTGTCCTGTATATTTTGATTTTTTATTTTGCTTGCTTGCTAGCAATAGACAGAAACTTCAAAACGATTGCTTTGTTAGGCTGGAGTGTGAACTCTGTCTTGAACATTTATACAGCTTGTAATTTCTCTAGTTTGCAGTGTGCTGATGTCAGTCAGTTACACTGATAGAATTAACTCCATTTTTCTCAAAGCTGAAATATTTCTAAATGAAATACAGTGTTTAAAAATTAAACTGAAATTTTATTGTTGGAATTATTGCTGATAAAGATCTTTTGCTAAAGCAGTTTTACAAATTGTATTGAGAAGAAAATCAGATGTTACATTTGCTGTAAGTATTGTTCAATTTGCATCAAACGGTGCAACAGAAATCCTACAAGTGCTACAGGAGCCTAGAACCAAAGACTTGTATAAAAAGTAAATCTTGGGGTCTGTAAGTAGTATCTGTGACTAGTCTGCTTTGTGTTCCTGTGAAATAACCAGTTAAACACTTTTTCACTTTTATCATTAGGTGGGCCAGGAAATTGAGGTGAGGCCTGGTATTGTGTCCAAGGACAGTGAAGGCAAACTCATGTGCAAGCCAATCTTTTCCAAAATTGTGTCACTCTTTGCTGAACACAATGATCTACAATATGCTGCTCCAGGAGGCCTTATAGGTAAGAATATTGTCTTATGAAAAGATTCATTTCTTCATGCTTATTGAAAGCACTTGGTTTCATTCAGCAGTGAATTTCAGTGTAATTAACAAAAATACCATGAGCATTTTTAGATAATTCATATATGTAGAGAGAGACAGGGTTGGTGTAAAAAATGGATATTTAAGAATAAAATAATTTTCTTGAATGTCACTGGCCAATGTAGATCAGCTTGCACTGTTAATTGTACCAGCTTTAGCAGCAGAATATTTCTTCATCTGTTTAGACAGAGCTCACAGTCTTGCTGACATTCTGAAAGTGCTGTCCAGGTAATAGGGAATTCCCAGTACATGCTCTTTTTTTTTTGTTTTAGATCATCTTCAACTATTATAGCACAGAAAAATGACAGCTACCTTTCAGTTACTCCTTCTGCCTTCCCTTGCTGTGTTGCAGGTGTTGGCACTAAGATCGATCCCACGTTGTGCCGGGCTGACCGCATGGTGGGCCAGGTTCTTGGTGCAGTTGGGGCACTGCCAGAAATCTTTACAGAGCTGGAAATTTCCTACTTCCTGCTGAGACGACTCCTGGGCGTGCGCACTGAAGGAGACAAGAAAGCTGCAAAGGTCTGTGCCCCTTCTTTTGTTTGTCCTGATTTTGCTTTCTGTGCTAATTTTCATTAATGAGTATATTTCTTTGATCATATGTAGACATTTTGTCTCAGTGTTGATATAAGCTTGTTACAAAACTTATCTGCTTGTTTAATACTGTAGAATGGTTTTCAGAGGAATGGAAATTCATATCAGTAAAGTAGCATAAAGTACTTATGTGTCATGTTATGTATTTTGCTAAACATGCTGGTAGTTTTCTTTTGCTATCATCCTATTAATTTGTGCAGTAATTAATATTACAGTGGTACTGATCTACTTCCGACTGGCATGCTTTTTGTAGGTTTTTTTCACTGAAGAATTTTTTAAAGTTTAAGTATTTTTTAAATACTCTGACTGAAAAAAACCCTGAACTTGAGGCACAGGACAAACTTGTGTAACACAATCTGTTTTACACAAATCAACTAAAAGATCATAATTTCCCCTGTTAGCATTTAAAATTATAAACTGCTTCATGCAACAGCAAGTAAAGTGCTTCAGTGCTCTCTTATCCTGTGAAATTAAATTTTTTTAAATGTAGGCATAAGGGAAATGAAAATACAACATTCTAGTAAATAATATGTATAACATCACAGGTTGTAACAATATCTCTGACTGTTTGTGTTTTTAATACGTTATATGAAATCATCAGTAGAGTTTATAGAAAATGTAGATCAATCCCAGGAAAGTACATCATACCAAGAACCTCAGAGCTACAGGTACAGCATCTTTATGTATTTGTCCATTTGCATATAAAACTTTTATCTACTGACACTGCTGCCCATAGTTGGTGTGTGTATATTTATAGTATTTCAGTAGTTCTCAGCTGTATCTTTTTTCTTGGCAAGAAGGTAACAGAAGATAACTTGGTACTGTCTGTGCTATTTGGTTTTTAGTACTAAAGCTTACGTTTCAAAGTTTTGTATGTCTGTCTTCAGGTGCAAAAATTATCGAAGAATGAAGTTCTAATGGTAAACATAGGATCCTTGTCTACTGGAGGGAGAGTCAGTGCTGTAAAGGCTGATTTGGGGAAGATTGTGCTAACTAACCCTGTATGCACAGAAGTGGGAGAAAAAATTGCTCTGAGTCGAAGAGTTGAGAAACATTGGCGGTAAGTTGGTGCCAAGTTGGTAGGGTTGCTACATTGTTAACAAAAAAACACATGGATCTGATTTTGTACTAGCATAGGTAAGGTGTGTCTGTTTTAAAAATTCTTCTGGATTCTCCTAGCACATTGGCACCGTGGTTGTGGAATGCTTAATTTCATTGCTATCTCTTTTTTAAACAGTCACATGATTGGGAGGGTACCTGTTAGTTAACAGACAAGGAAACACCTGAGCTTTGTGTTTGTTGCCCAAACTGCCAAGCTGTAAATTGAGCTCAGTAGGGAATCTTGGCAGAGGGTTTGGGAAATTCTCACATTGTTAAGCCAAATAGCCATCTTTATGCACAGCTCAGTGGTTTTCTACCTGTGGAGCTGCATGTGATTTCTAGTGCAACCTGGAAGTAAAAGCAGGGGAACAGAGGAGGGATGTTTGAATGTTTTATGTACCATGAGCACAGAGGAAAGAATAAAATATCAACTGGATTGACCCATTCAAACTACAAATATAAAATGTCTGACTGCAGAAGCATCTGAAGGCTGAAAATGACAAACAGAATTGGTTGGTGATTCATTTTATCGCAGTGCCAGACTCTATTTAGGTGATTACACATAATGTACCTGTCACAGGTTTCATAAGACTGGATTGATGAGAACATGAGTATTTAGATTTGTTGGCTCTGCACAGCCCTTGTAGTATGAGAGAGCACAGCCGTTTTTACAAGAAGCCTGTACTGTATGGAAAGGAACCAAGCTTTAAATATCTATGGATGCATGTTTCTTTTTCAGATGACAAGAAAATGTAGACAGGAATTTAGTGCTTGCTGTCTCAGAGCAAGATGACAAATTAGGGAAGAGATTGTTCTCTGAAAAAAAAACCAAGGCAAAAGATAACATGTCTTGAACAGGAGGAAATAAAAGGCAGGACCCAAATTAAGTCAGGTAAAGCAGAAGGAAGAGGAGAAACTATGTTAAAAATTATGCTTGTTTTTCCCTTTTTTAAGCTGTAGACTGATAATCCTGTGCAAATAATAACGTGTCTTTTGTTGCTTTTGTGGATTCTTTCCCAGTTAAAAAACTTGACCAAATTTTGCCCAAAAGCCCACCTGTCTCTGGATTGTGAGGTGGGCAAATAATGGCAGCCTGCTGTAAAGATAGTTATTGAAAAGTTGATTCCTATGCTGTATTAAAAAGATAAAGACAATATAAGGAAACTAAAAGTTGAGAAAAGGGAAAGAAGGCAAACTGGGAAAACCAGCATAAAAAAACCTGATTGCAGTAGAGATAATATACAGTTGGTACTGTGAAAAGGAACTTGCAGCTTGAGTACTGAAAATACAGAAGAAAGTTCGTAAAGCAAGACTAAAAAGAGGTATAAAATAAAAAGGAAATACACAGAGGCATAGAGAGAGGTTAAACAGCAAATGGGACACACCAGTGATTCCAAGGATCAGTGAATTCAAAGGTGGTCAAGTTATGACCTATGGTTATGGTAGTAAAAAGTGGGAAGTGCTGCTCTGATAAACTTCAGTTTCTTTTCTGGTGTCCCAAGACAGGCTCTATGTAAGGTGAATTGAGATGCATGTGTGGTTTCTCACCAGAAATTGGAGAGGTTTTGAACACAGTTTTACTAATAATATGAAATACCTGCTGGCTGTGGAAATGGATGTATTCTGAATTTCTTTTTGCTAGTGTATTTTTCTGGGGCAAGAGTGGCCTATAAAAAAGGTCTTAGTTTTTCTGAATATAAATAGCAGCACTCACCCCAGAGCTGAGTTACCATCACAGGCTACCACTGAGAGTTACAGCTGTTTGTAATCTTACTGAATTCTCATTTCTCTTTGAAAGTAGTGCACACTTCAGGCGCAGGTGAAAGAGATGAAGCTGTGCATAGATTTACCATCCAGTACAACAGTACAATATAACTTAGAATATTTTCAGCTTCTGTTCAGGAGTACACTCTTACCTGGTCACAAATGTCCTCTATCCCTCACCCTTTTCTATTCTGTGTTTCCACTAAGGTTTGTTCTTGTAGAATGTTTTGGGTGGGAGACAAGTGTAGAAAATTCAAAGTGTAAGAAATGAAGGCATAAGAAGGACAGAAGGATGTTTAACTTATACACGATATTTCTGACTACTGGTAAAAATAATATAAACCTTTTTTTTTTTCAGTTTAATTGGCTGGGGTCAGATCAGAAGAGGAGTGACAATCAAGCCAACTGTTGATGATGACTGAAGAACAAAAGAGTGCTTCATTTTTAAAGATGAAGTGCCTATTTCTATTTTGGAGGGGTGTATTTTCACAGTGGAATTGGAAGCTGTGCAAACAGTATCTTTGAGTTGTATGGCTGTCCTCATACCTTTTATTGACTTTTACCCTCTTACTAAAATACTAGTCACTATCACCATTAAAAGTGTAAAAGAATTGGCATAGAAATGGGTTTCATTATCCACATTTTAGTAGAAATTAATTGTACATGTCTCATGGCATGTCTAATTTATGTTACTTTGTGTTTCAGACATATCTGTTTAATATCAGTCAAACCAGCCCCAGTGTAACACACAAACCATAAATCTGGCATTGAAATAAAATATTGCTTATTTTCATTAATTCATACAGTTTTTTTGAGTAACAAAAGACTGCAGTGATTGTTCAAGTACAAGAATTAAAAGCAAGCAAACTCTTCTTGGAAGACCAGTACCTTTTCTGCACAATTTGTTTTGTTGAGACAACTGTTACCAACAAAAAACTTTATTTCTTTGTTTCTATGGTTCTTGATTTTAGGATTCTAAAGTATTACACTTTGTAATTAGGATGGCAGTATTGACTGACTTGAATTTGTCATTTCTGATATTACTACATGTTTTCTTAAATCCCCAAAAAAACTCCACAAGTAAACTGGATCTGAACTGGCAGTACTGGTTTTGGCCTATTTTAGTATGGATTTATGAAAAGAATGTGATTAATTGGAACATTGTCATCATGAAACTCTGTGGGAGTGACCTGGGAGTTATTTATACAGTAGGAGTAAACGACTTTAAAATTGTTGAGCAAATATAAAATATTGGGAAGAGGCTGTAGAAAGGAATGATTTGGGGTGGGGGCAGAGTAATGGTGATGGAATTGTGAAGAGGATGAGGAAAAAAGGTATAAAACCACTTTTGTGTAGCTACTCTGAATCACATGCCTCAGGATAAAACATAATGTAATAAACTTACTGTAGGGTGCTAATACTTTAATCCCTTTAGATTTCACTTCTTCATTTGTACTAATATACATAGTTCTAGCTGGTTTATATACTATTTAGCAAGTTATGCTACTTAACATATTTTGGTACAAAGTACTGTGTGTTTTCAAAGCTTGGTTTTGGTTTTATTCAATATCTTCAAGGGCTTTCTAAAGGTAAATACGATTTCACTCATCAAACTGGAATTTGATGAAACAGCTTGCATTTTGCTCCTGATTTTGCACTGTATTGTGTTCCCTTACTCTGTCTACATTCTTGTATTCAGTTTTTCCATTTGTAAAGTACTACCTCACATGGTGTTGAGAGTAAATGCATTAATTTTTGAATAGTGCTTTTCCATTTGAAAAGCAGGAGTGAGCTGTAGTTCTCTTGGGCTCTCCAGGTACTTGACCAATCTACAATCTTAAATGTGTCCATTTCAAGGATTGCATCTTCCATGCTTTGGCAGCTCCTTTCTGTAGCTGTGAATTCTAGGAACTGGGATAAACCTAAGCCTTGCCTAGTCTGGTGGCAGGAGGGTGAGCATAAAAGAGAATATGAGCTACAGCAGAGTGCTTGGATGGCACCAGCTCCAGGGTGAAGTTTAGAGTCCTTTCTCAGTGCACTGCACCTGTGTGTTTAATGAAACATGAGGAAAAGCTTCTGAGCAACTGGTTCAGCACCCACAGACATTTTTAGACATTCAGATATTTTGGAGATTGTGTCTCTTGATCTGCAGTTTAAAGAACACCAGTGCCATAATCTTGCTGAGGTTGTGCATTGACCTGCTTTGCCCGTGGCTTTTCCAGGCAGGGTGAGGCTTGCACAAGGATCACCTCCTCCTACACTGCTGTATATCCTGTCACACCACAATGAGGGCCTGGGGGGCAGATCACATACAGAGTTATTTTTCTGCCACTGAAACGTTAGATTTCCTCTAATGGAAAGCTTTGACTGCTGACATGAATGATAAGTAATGGGATTTTGAGACTGCTGCATACATGGAACATGTCTCTGCAGCACTGGGAAGACAAGTGTGAACAGTGTAAGTGCAAATACGTTGTGTGCTATGGGTGTACCACCCCCTCAGTCACTGAACTGTGATGCTGAGATGTTGAATGACAAGAGGCAATATCATGTACAGCTAAGGAAGTTGAAAGTTATTTTGATTTTCTTGGCCAGGATTAAAATAGTGACAGATGCCTTGTGAGCTTTCTCACTTTACCAGGGATTTACTTCAGAGTGATTCTATTTTTTTACCCTTTTTAGATCATATTTAGCTACTTGAACAGAGGTGTGCATTTGCATTTCTAATGGGTTGGGTACACAAACGTAGATATCTTGTGCAGTGGTACAAAGTTGAAGTGTGTCTGTAGTTATTTCTGAGACTTAACTGTGCATTTGGGAAATGCCATTTCCAGCCAAATACCAGATTTTATTCTGAAAGGGTGAAGAAAAAACGTTCAATTAACACCTTTGCTGATTTGGTCCTAGTATACACAAAATCCAGAAAAAAATTTAAATTATATTTTTACTGCATTCGTTCTGTAGCACTTTGAAAAGTGCTCCCTTCTAGCTCACTGCTGCAGAAAGGGTTCCTGCTGTTTTTCCCTGCTGAGTCATGTGGATGAGCCTCCAGCCTGCCCGCAGGAAAGGTTTCAACTTGTCCCCGCCCCTTTCCCATCGGTTCTTCTGGCAGTGTAAAGTCCCAGCTCTGCCGCCCCTGCCGTTCTGGGTCACAAATTGTGCCAGGCTGGGGCTAAACATTTATAAAGTTTCAAACGCCTGCTGTCCCTGACCAGCACCGCACAGCCCCTCCCGGCCGTGGCACGGCCCGTGGACATCCACGAGGTCCGGTGGCCTTCTCCTGACGTCCCCAGACCCTGTGAGCACCGCTCCTTTTTCATCAGCTCCTCCACCACCACGGTCCTGGCACAGCTGCCTTCGTGGCTGATGGTCACTTACCATGGTGCTAAAATTACTGATGTGCTCTGGCTTCGTGTTGCTGCTTTTGTTTCTGTGAAGTTCCATCTGTACATGCTCACAGAATGTTCCATTCATCTCCAGTCCACCCCAGCGGTGTAGTAAACATGCACATTTCATACTTTTCCAGACTAAAAACCCAGCTAGAATAACTAATTTTACAGAAATTTTGGTTTATGGTGAATTACATAGAAGCTGTAACAGTCACAAACTGTATAAGTGATACATGTAAATAAATTCTCCTTTCTTACCCTGAAAGGATTAAAAACCAAACAAACAAGTCTCCTAACGTGGACACTATATATGCAATGAAGAAAGAACAAATTAGCAAGAAAATTTTGTTACCAAGGAACAGACATCTTGTTCAAGGAATTACCTAAAATATTTAAATAAATACATATTCTTCAATGTCTTTTATAAAACAAGGCACTAGAACATTGTGCTTGAGCACAGATGAAAACTGTTGAAATATTTTAGTTGAAGTAAAGTTAATATTTACTTGTGTTGAGGAAGGCTTCATTAAGCAATTGCACACTATACATTTATAAAACACAAACTTTTCTGTTTGAACAGTTTCTTTCTAAAGCCTAGTATAGTTTTTTGAATATTTCAGTAGAGTTGTGAGGAAAAAATCATGATTCACTTAATTAAGTCTCATGTTACACAATCCTCAGGATTCAAATTAATCAGGGCAGCAGCTCTCCCTTTTTGCCTCTGTGTGGGCATTTGTAAAGAAATCCAACATACTAGACAGGATTCATTACGTTATTTAGAAAACCCCTTCCCCTGCCAAACATGATGCTTTTCTATATTTAGTTATTTTTCTTTATTTGGTGTTCAATGAAGACCTGAAAAGTGTTTTCTCCTGCAAATGTACCTTAGGGTTCTCTGAACTCATTTCTCTTCCTGGTTTTGCTTAATCATCTATTTGATTAGGTAATCTATTATGTATCTCAAAATACTTCATTTGCAACATCATCCTAACTACCACACAACAGAGTTAAGTCTCAGCTTTTGTAAGTTTTCGTTAAAGCAGCTTTTTTTAACCTTGGTGACTAGTACTGGGCATACAGAAATAGAATAATTTTTTGTACTTTTTCTTGGCTACGGCCAAAATGCTGTTGATAACAAAGTTTAGCAACAATTATTGTTATTTTTTAAAATTGTCTCCCATTTATTACATTGGCAGTAATTATATACAACTTAATCCTTTAAAAATCTGATGTGGAGTCGTACTTCACCCAGAAGTGAAAAGAGGTATGGGGGTACAATTAGTCCTTCCACAGCAATCACAAGCATTTACATGTTCTCCATATGGTTTTGGCTCCTTGCCTCCTGCCTCGTTGTCTGTTAGCATGCATTAAAAACACCAAGCCAGCAAACGCTGGTACAGCCCTGTGAACCTGTGTGCTTCACGTTATGAATAGAAAGTTGTATTCTTTTTGAGTTTCAGAGTTAAAAAAAACAAGTCAGACCTCTTTGGTTTCACTGCCGGAGAGGGGCTCCTTAATTACCTGTTAATGGCCACTGATTAACTATTGTTTCCCTGATGCTGGCCGCTTGCCAAGAAGACACCAGGACAGACCCTCCAAGGTAAGAGAATGGGCAGTGACATCAGAGCCAGTATGCAGATGAGAAGTGCATTGCGCCCTGAATTTTTACAGTTTTACAGTTTTTACAAGAAAAACCCCTAAAATCACGAGCCAACAAGTGACTTAAGTGACGTCTAAGGATGGGAGCGTAGTCTCGTACCTGCTTGGACCCTTTTGTTTCTCACCCTAACCTAAAAAGATACTGATTAAAGAGACACCCCGGAGTGTTAAACAAACAAGCAGGAATCTAAGACTCTCCCGTGAGAACAGAATCCCCAGCTCTGCCTGCAGACCAGCGGACAAAGCTGCATCACCCTCCTCCTCTGTGCCACGCCTGGGAGCAGCGGCGGTGTGGGCACAACCCGTCGATTTCTCCCCACCTGAGCTGATTCTTCTTAATAAAGGCATTAAAAAAGGAGAAAGATCTCCTGCCCATTTATTTCACTTCAGGCACACAAACGGTCCTGTTAACACTGCTGGGACCCTTGTGCACAGAAGGTGAGCTTGTGCTTTAAGTGTTTGGAAACTGGGATCTTAAATTGCTTCAATTTTTCTGGAAGCTTAATTCCTCCTTTAAATTTATTGCTACTTCACACTGTTGCTGTTCTACCAACCTGTGTGTTCACGCTGGGAATTTATTTTTGCAGTTAAAACCAGACATTTTATCTTTGAAAGCATTTTGAGCCTTATATGGGAAGGTGTCTGTTTTGACACGTAGCATCACAGCAAAGTGGACTCTTGGTACGTTCCAGAGCAACCTGGTGCTGTGTGGACTGGTGAAAGCTGCTCCAGGTGGAAGCTGATCACCAGCTCCCATCCATTCAAGGCGAGTACAGTTAATGTAGCTACAGAAGAGTTTTGCTGGTAAGAGACCAAATAACACACCTTTGAACTGACAAACACTGAAAATCAGTGTTGTCCCATTGAAGCCTCCCCAAAAAGAAGGCTGGTCCCTCAGTGTAATGGTTTGGTCTGTAATGTCCTGCTCTCTTGTTAAACGATTTACTAGAGAAATAGGGAGGGGCTGTTTCTGTTTCAAAACACAATGCTTATATAGTCAGTGAAGCAGATAACCCTCAGGGCCATCTACAACTCCATCAGCCGAGGAAAGGAACTCTTAACACTTCTCTACCCTTTGTTTTTCAAAATCCAACAGTACTGACTTCTAACACTGTGTCAGGTTGAACATTTACCAGTCCTTTTTACCTTTGTTACATGTACTCACCAACAACTCTAGGCTGTATCTTTGATCCATGGGCAAATAAGGTAAATGAAATATGAGTTTACAGAATTATGGAGGAAATAATGGATTTTTTAATGTCCGCCCCTCTCCCTGCCCCCACAACCAATGAGAGTTCAAACTAAGAGCTATTATTTGAAATTGTAAAATAAATAATTAACCGTCCTACCTAATTAAAAATACCTTCAAGCTTGCACAACACTTAATCAGGATGACTAGAAACAAAATTGCCTGTGAAAGCCTTCCTTTAACAACTAAGTGCAACTAAGGATTAAGAAGCCTACTGAGTATTTGTAAACCAAGACATGTCAGAGATTTTAATGCAGACAACTTACCAATTCTCCACAGGCTGCAAGGGACTCCTGCTCAACACAAGGACCACCCTGTTGTTTAAATGTAAGATCTCTTTTCAAGTTTTTTTATAGTTTTTCAATTTAAAAAACTCTTCTCTTTCTTTTTTCCTTTTCTTTCCTTTTATTTTTCTCCTTCTTTTCTCCTCTTTTCTTCTTTTACTTTCTTATCTTTAAGGATTAAGAAGCCTACTGAATATTTGTAAACCAAGACATGTCAGAGATTTTAATGCAGACAACTTACCAATTCTCCACAGGCTGCAAGGGACTCCTGCTCAACACAAGGACCACCCTGTTGTTTAAATGTAAGATCTCTTTTCAAGTTTTTTTATATAGTTTTTCAATTTAAAAAACTCTTCTCTTACTTTTTTCCTTTTCTTTCCTTTTATTTTTCTCCTTCTTTTCTCCCCTTTTCTTCTTTTCCTTTCTTTTTTTATCTCTCTTCTTTCCTTTTTTCTTATCCTTCCTTTTTTCTCCTTCTTTTTCTTTCCTTCTTTTCTTTTTCTCTTTCTTCTTCTTTTTCTTTTCTATACAAGGGCAAATAATCTGCATTTTGATCTGAGGCAGCTGAAAAAACTGTGTCTGGAGTCTTCACAAAAAAATTCAGTTTGAGGCCAACACCCCTTAGGGAAAATTTCAGACTTGTGAAAGCTGGCAAAGTTTTACGAGCAACTGAAAACCTGTACAATGCAAAATGTCAGCTTCAAAGTAAGTGACACTACACTGCACATTGCTGGTGTTTTTAAGTAGAGAGGTTATCTGAGACATAGGCAGCTGTAGAGATACTGGCCGTACAACATTTTCACTGATTTAAACCTTTTAGGTCAGTTCCAACCTACTGGCCTTGTATAACTGCAGGAGAAAAGACACAGACTGAATATCTGGACCCTCTTCTGAGCTTTCTCTGCAACTACCTTGTGTAGCACAGCACAGACAGACCAAACACAAGAGCCGTGCATTTCTCTTCTGGGTCCCAACACCATGGGATTTTTTACTGGACACAGTTCTCTAAGATGCATGTTAATACTGAAATAAAAAGCATGTCAGTCAGTCATCAGCCTGGTATATCTGAACACATGTTTTAAATACTCTTTTTTTATAAGTAGGAAACATTAGAAAGTTTAAGTTCAGATACAGTTTTCAAACACCAAGCAACAAATAAGATTCTCTGATTATGTTTCACTGTTCAGTTTGTACATTTCCCACTCCTTGCCTATCCCATATTCCACCCTTATCATGAAATTTCTCCAAATGAACATTGCCATACTTGTTTCACAGATATTCCTCCAATTCCTTATTTTTCAGGGTTACACGGATCCCAGCAATGTCTATGCTGAGGCTTGGTAAAATTATGTCTTATAATGGCATGAAAACCTTCTTTAAAGTTATTTTTCTTTATTTAATGAGCAGTTTTAATGTAAATTTCTTCAAAGGAATTTTGTGTACTAACACACAATTGTAAAGGTCAGTCTTTGTTTCATTACTTCATTTGTTGCAACTAGTTTTTTCATCAAAGAAAGCATCTTACAGCTGCACTCATCTTTCTTTGCCTTCAAGCCTTTGTCTCCCAGGCATTGTGGCTGCACGTGTGCATAGGCAGTTCAGTGCACATCCCAGCTCTGGTCATCTAAATTCACCCTAGAATTGGAGACAAGTGTGTATGGCACTTTTGTCCCCAAGCATCGTGGGCCGAAGCGAGTTGGTGGCTTTGTTTGCATGCGTAGTGTTGGCTGTAACATGCCTGTCTCAGTGGCCAGCCATTTGTTCAGACAGACATCAGGCCAGATGCTACCCAAAACACAGGCGCTGCGACAGCCTGGGCCCCTTTCCAAGCCTTGCTTCCCAGAAACTGTGTGAAGCTTCCTGCCAACACCAAGCCAGCTCTTTCTTCAGCTCTCTCAGGGAGCACCCTGAACACCAGCAGTAATTGGCAAAGTGCAGGTGGATGGGTCAAAGCCCCTTCACAGGCT